ACTCAGAGAAATTCAACTGGGCTAATCTATCTAAGGAGGACATTGATAGATATACTGTCTTAACTGACAGCTTACTAAATGATGTTGTATTGCCGAGAAATGCCATTTCTAAATATGAACTGCACTGACACACAACACGCTGTTGACCTTTGTGATTTATATGACAACATTATAAAAGTTCTACATGCCTCTTCCTGCAGTCATAAGAAGGTGTTTAACATTAAACCTGGGTGGAATGAGTATCGTGAGATCGTTGCTAAGTACCAAAGCCAAAACTCCTCTGTGTTTCTCTGTTTCATTGATGCCTCTAAGGCATTTAACAGAATCAATCATGAGAAATTGTTTGTCAAATTACTTGAGAGAGATGTTCCTAAATATATTGTCAGAGTTCTTATGTATTGGTATGCTCAGCAAACATTCCAGGTCAAGTGGGATAATACTGTCTCTGCTCCTTTTCATGTGGGCAATGGGGTCCGTCAAGGAGGAATTTTATCTCCTATTCTTTTTAATGTATATATAGATGACCTTTCAAGACAGTTAAATGAATGTAAAACGGGCTGTATTGTGGGAGATCAAGTTGTCAATCATCTCATGTACGCTGATGACCTCGTTGTACTTTGTCCATATACTGCTGGGTTACAACAACTGTTAAGGATATGCACACAATATGGCAGAAAATTTAACATTAACTATAACGTCAAAAAAAGTAAAGTCATAGTTATGAGATCTAGAGAGGACAAGAAATCGTTTTTTCCTGCCTTCCACCTTTCAGATTGATCCCTAGACATATCGAAGGAATTGAAATATCTTGGACATGTCTTCTCAGATGATCTTATGGATGACAGTGACATCCATCGTCAAAGCTGTAAAATATATGCACAGGCCAATACATTGTTGAGGAAATTTTCTATGTGTTTTGCAGATGTTAAATGTGCTCTGTTCAGGCTTATGTCACACTGCTGTGTACAGCTAATCTCTGGTCCTCTTACAGAGTGAAAAGTATGCAGAGGCTTAGAGTGGCATATAATGATGCCATGAGGCTGTTGCTCTGTGTTCCTAGGTGGCACAGTGCCAGCCAGTTATTTGTGTACTCTAATGTACCAACATGTCAGGCACTGTTACGAAAGTTAATGTTTAATTTTATGTGTCGACTGGATTTGTCAGAAAATAGCATTATTATGGCCTTAACCTGCCCTATGATGGGCTATTGGTTCACATCCAAGCTTCAAAAGCATTGGCATGATAGCATGCACCTCTTTCTGAACAAACAGTGATAAATTACATATGAAAGTATATATATATATATTTTTTTTAATGATGTATTTTAAATGTATGTAATGGTTGTGTGTATGTGTGTGTGGACCATTTGAGTCCGTAATAAAGATTATTATTATAATCCGACTGAATTGACAGCTCATTTCAAAACTAAAGTGTAATTAAGTTACACATCACAATAAGACTAGGTCCGTTTGAGCATCTACTGAGAAAGAAAAAATATTTTTATGCTTTTCTTATATGTGAAAATTAAATATGACCACAACACATCTCCTTTTGCAATCACCTTGTGTCACTCAGCAGTTACTGGTTCACTTCATTTTACAGTGACATGCATACAATATGTCTCCACTTCAAACAAGAATAAAACAAATACAATAATTGAAAATAATAATAGGCACCGTAGAAAGTCCAAACACACCAAAATTTACAAATAAAAAAGATCAGTAGGTGTGCACTGTCTACAACAGTTGAGAATATTAAGAACTCGCATGACTATGTCATAAATACACTGATTATAATTATTTTCAACACATACGGGGGGGGTGCACCGTTCCTGGAAGTACTGCAATACCAGGTCGATGCGTGGAGTGGACGGAGCAAGCCCCTATTCCATCTCCCTGTTCCAAAAATCAATTTAATATATGGTCCCCGGGTAGGGGACGTATCAGATATTAAACTGATAAGAACAGATACTACACTTGATCTTAGCCAAAAGGCCGAGAAGCGATGCTGATTAACGAGTCAAGTGGGAGACTCCTTCTCCTCATTGTGACACTAACTCGCGGTTCAATATGATTTCTATGGCTACAAAAACACACCAACAAATTGTGAAAGCGCAGTTTGATGTCTTATGACTGATGGGCAACGGAAAAATGCATCCGATCGCAGACTTTTATTACAAAACGTTACGGGAGTTAGTGTGGGTTCATGCTATTTCTGGTCACGTGATGTGCTACTGCCCAATCAGCCATCAGTACGAACGGGTATGTTAAAATCCACTTTATAGCTCTAATTAAGGAAGAACTGGTCATTTACTCACTTAAAATATACGATTGAGATTAAGTAAAACTATTTCTATTGACTGGATCGCGTGTATGGTTAAAAGTGAACAATATACACCTGCTTCTGAATATAAAGCTTCAACAATGATAAACTGAGCTGTGTCTCCCTCTGGTGACGGAAACAATACAGGACACTGTGCTCAGTCTGAAACGACAAACACAGCATCTTTGGCCAAACACTTTACATTGTGCTTTAGTGAAGAACAATACTACCACTACTATTATTAATAGTAATAATAATAATAATAATAATAATAATAATGACTTTAATAAGGAAAGAGAAAGTCCCTAGCATACCACACAAAACAGTCATCTATGTACAAGAATACAATATAAATAATACAATACAAGACATACCCTACATTATACAAGACAAGAATTACCCAACACCACATTATATAATTTCATAGAAATTTACACAATTCAATACACTGCACCCACAAACAAGCAGGAGAGCCAGTGGCCCCACAGTTTAGATGAAGACCTGACTGAGCTCAGATCAGGGGTGGCCAAGGCCTGGATGATACTATTTTCTGAGACAGAGAACCTGCACATATATCGATATGATTTCGCATTACGGCAGGGCAAGTAGGTACACTAACATTTAAAAACATTTGGCTGCCACTTACTGCACCATCGTGGAAGATTAAGAAGTAGTCTCATGTCATCGTTATAGGCCACATTAAGTCTTGCATATTGCTCTTCCTTTAGGAGCGCCACAAGGGGGCAATATACAAAGGAGTGCAAAATGCTCTATCAAGAGCGACGTTCACATTGACTGAACACATGATACATTTGCGAGCAAGCTTATTAGCTTGTGCATACAACTTGCACACTGTCTGAGGTCGACAGATAAATCATTGACAATATAATTACCAAGATATTTAATCTCACGACACACTTTAGGAGCAACACCGGTTAAAAATAATTCAGGAAATACTAATTGTCTGTCTTCTTTACTGTTAACAATCATATTGTTGCTCTTATTGGCATTATATTTGATGTCAAAGTCTGCACCATAGTTAGAACAAATCTTCAACAACTGTTGTAAGCCAGCAATATATGTTTTTAATACTGGCAACTTATAGCTTATTAGAATCTGAACAAATGTATACGATCCAGCAAAACATCACAGGCGTACACCATCGATATTTGGACACCAACGAGACAACGAGGCATCAAACTGGTAGCAGAACTGTTTCAACTTCCGGTGTTTCAGTTTTCAGAAAAAAAGTTGTACTGGCAACATGTAACGTCTTTACTTTGAAACAATTTGCAAACCGTTTAAGTTACCGGAAAAAGGTTGACTTTTTAAGACAGCTGTTTAAGTGTAATTTGGTTTACAACTATTTGATAGCAACAGTAGACATGTAATGCAAAACTACGCAAATTACAACTGACTTTGACTGTTTCAGCCAACTTCAACATGGCCGCTAACTTCAAACAACACCCCACACGCAGCAACAATTATTGTAACTTACTGTAACGTTATTTCTGAAACTGGACATTCCATATTTAGCTTAATTTAGGAACTATAACGTAAGGTAAAGGGTAATGGGCCTAAACGTACGTGCTTTCATCGAATAATAGTCAACCAACGTTAGTTAGAGATGAGTTACCTGAATTAACGTAGGTCCACGGTCACTGAAATTAAACTGCGTAACGCGACCCTCCCTTCAAGGGTAACATTCAGTTAACAAGCAACTTTAACCAACACTAACTGTCATTAATGTTAATGCTTAAGGTTAAGTTAAAACTAATTTAAAGTCATATGTTAGTCTCAGAGTTACAGTCACCATTGCCACAAATATATCTCGTACCTACAACTAACGGTGCCATTTGCAATTACAGCATTAGCAGGCCTAGCCTAACCCTTAGTGCCTTCAGTCCATAAAATGATGCGACTAACCAACGGCAAACCGTTATTTCATAACATTTCACAACAAAACATGTTAAGCCAAAAGACTAAAAAGAACAATATTAGAAGAAGCTTTCCAAAAACAGCTTTGGTTTAGGCATTATCTTATCTGAAATTGTCCTCGACTGCGAAAAGACGTGATTACCTGTCGACGACAGCTGATTTTCAAATTGAAATGTCCCCCTCGTCCAATAGTGTTCTCTGTCTGTCACTGCGTACCGCTCCCTCCTCCATTGGGTGGTTCAGGTTAGGGCCGAGGTTTGGGCAGGTCAAGGTGGACGGTGGGGGAGGGACATATTTTGGCGAGGAAACAGACTTCTGCACAACACCTAACGATAAACGTTACACAACAATGTTGTATACAAGTGACCAACAGGGGGCGGTGTTTACGTGTAAAGGTTTTCCGTGATACATTTGCTAAAAAGAAATAAGACACTGAACATTTATGGCAATTCAAATACATTTTAATCCAACTTGGTGTTTGTTTGTTTGTTTGTTTGCTTCTTTGTTTGTTTGTTTGTTTGTTTGTTTGTTTGAAGTGACTGCAGCAGTGCAATAACTGTCTGTGCAGTTACCGTACATAATACTTTTGTGTTTGTTTGTTTTTTGCTTAAACGTCGATGTCGACACGATTAAAAGTCGCCACGTACATTATTTTTATAGTCTATGTTAAAAGTTGCCATAGGTTTTCAGTTGGTTCTTTTATTCTGAAGAATTTTAACCGGAAGTCTTCTTGGTTCACATCGGAGGCAGAAGTAATGGACGAGTATCAGACAGAAGAGGAGGTGGGTTTTATGCTTTAAACTAGTTATTGCGTGTATTTGTATCACTTAGAAACAACGCTCAGATATAACCACAAAACGATATCTTGTTTCTACGGTTTACTTTGTACCTGACACGTAATCGTTTGGCCAGAAAGTACGTTTAAAGGCGAACAGACATGTCGGCTGGCTAGCTTAAACTAAACTGTTTTTATCTTTCACCAAACAGACTGCATTCATCGTCGATGAAGTGAGCAAAATTATAAAAGAGGTAAGCAAAATGACATGATGCCTGTCTCTTTATCCCCAGAGTTTACTTAAATTTAAGATTGAATCGACTAATTGCTACCGCTAGCTTGGAGCTTCGTGTTTAGCGACCCGTTTGTTGCTAAGGACACCAATGGTTGCTAGGCAACGTTCATATCTGTAACGTCCCTAGAATACAGAAGATTTATTGTAACACCTATACAGTACAATTTTTGTGCAATATTTAGCTGATTAAGTTGTATTGTATGATGTGGATTTCATATCATTCTAAGGTTATTAAAAGGTGTTGCACTCTGTGTGATGATCAGTTCTTAACACCACTTTCCTGAAACTGTCTGTGTAGGCAGTAGAAGCAACTATAGGAGGAAATGCCTACCAGCACAGCAGAGTGAACCAGTGGAGCACCAGTGTGGTGGAGCAGTGCCTCAGTCATCTCAGCAAGCTGGGGAAGCCTTTTAAATATATTGGTATATGTCATGCTGCAGTGTAACAATAATATTCTGATGGTTCCTAGGTTCTGAAGATGGTATTAACAGATAGTTTGTGTTTTTCTACAGTAACCTGTATCATCATGCAGAAAAATGGGGCAGGTCTGCAAACAGCCAGCACATGCTTCTGGGATAACTCCACTGATGGTAAAGTAGTAATGTTGTGTATGTACAGTATTAGACTGTCAGCAACTATCAGTGTGCTTTTGATTCCTCAGCTTTCAGACACTGGTGGTCAATGACTTTAAATGTTAAATAAAGAAGTGCCACTGTCATTAAATGTATCGTGTATTACACCCAACAGGAAGCTGTTCTGTGAGATGGGAGAACAAGTCCATGTACTGTATCGTCAGTGTTTTTGGGCTGGCCATCTGAACCAACTACAGTGTACCTAGAATGTTTGAATTGTATAGGATTTTGTGTGTTATTGAGAACCTGAGTGTTGTATTTGGTCACATTGACTGTATGTTAATACACTTTTCTGCTTTTATACTAAGTGCTATTGAATAAAAACATACTATCCTGGATATACTTTGCTTTATTTACATGATACATGACAAGAGTGCTACATGTACAGCTTTTATCTCATTAAGTAACACAAATTACTAAGAACTCCCAACATATCAGGACCCACAACAACCTCATATAACCACTGTAAACCATCGGAAACTACATTCACTCTGAAAGAATCAAAAATGTACATTAATCTCAAAGCATTTACAAATTTGAGACCGCAGCCCAGTAATAAGAAATGTAAAGACAAGGCACCATTTTGATTAGAATACGTTAGGATATTATTTGTAAGGAACGGAAACACATTTGTTTGGCTGTTTTTGTCCATAACTCCAGGTTTATAAGACAAAGGAAAAGGCAGCAAATCTCACATTGTAGGCAAGGTATGGAAAGTTACGTGAGGAAAAAAAACAACTACTTAAAATAATACACTCTACATAAGGCAAAATATATTTGGCCAATGGTATAATTACTGTATGTGCAGGGAGAAAGAATGTGACAAATCAGTAGTCCATTTACATTAAGTTGTGTAAAATCATTTCTCAAAATCCATTCATCCATGTAGTCAGATAATACACTATCAAACATCATCACTTACCGGTGAAATAAATTAAACTCTTAAACAAGTTCATTTACAAAGCTGCTCTTGTTAATGTTATCATGGTTAAAGAAACAGACTTAAATCAAATGAAGAAGTTTGGTATTTTGTGATACCTGAGTAAGGCATATTCTTGAGTTCAGAACAAGCTCTGACAACCAAGAAGATCAGGTAGAGGACATAGAGGGCAACAACAATCAGGAGGAAGATTTTCATGCCCTGGAGAAATAACATGGGACTTTATTAAACTGCTGGGCAAATGAAGACACAAATGTACTGAATATGACAACAATATCAAACCACCTTTGCCCCAATCTGTACCATTAAAGGTAAACAGTCTCACCTCAAAGTTTTCTATGTCCACTTTATACAAATAGGTAGCGTCTTGGAGTTCATTAACCCTGCAAATTCAGAGAAGAAGAGTTGATCTTTTCAGTCCTGTTGTAATTTGCAGTTTGACTGAGGCTGCTAGCACCCAGTGGGATCAGACTTATTGCTTTTTTTTTTTTTTTTTTTTTAAATAAACTTTATTAACTTTCAATTACAAGTACAAACATCAGAATTACCAACATATATATTAGATATAAGACAACAATACAAACCAAAATGAGAGACACATAATGAGAGAAAATGAGAAATGTCCTTCAGTCAGTGTCACATATCCAAAATGTGCCAGGGGAGGTGCTGAGATCTGTCCATTGTTTTCCTCCTCCAGAGGTCTGTGAGTATGTGCTTAACGACCAGGTCGCTGTCTATGACGGTCTGACGTATAATCATGGCACATCTTGTTTTCCATAGCTTGGCACATACAACACTGCCGATTATTTGAAACAGTTCTTGGTGATTTGGGGGCATCTGCTATACAATCTGTTATGTATGAACTCTTTGATGACACAGAGTCCATACATAACAAATTTATAACACAAATTGAAATTCATGCCCAGACCTTTTAAAATGCTACACACCTCTTGTGCGCTATAACAGTTCATTAACAGGTGTTCTTGGGTTTCAGGCTCGGAACAGTTGATCATTGGACATTCTTTGGTGGTGATATAACAACTCCATGATACAACTGCTCTCACTGGGAGTCTGCCCACTGACATCAGCCATCTGAGGTCTCTGATGCTCTCTGGAATGGTTTTATTTTTTAATATATTTATTACTTCATTGCTATAATGATCAGATATGTATTTATATTTTATTAGCCCCCCCATATTTAAAATTATTAATTGTATTAAAAATGTGTTTGCTGGATGAACTACACCAATTAATATTCAGATTCTGGTGTTCTATTAGATAATTAGCATATATTAATTTATAATTCGGGCCAGATCTGGCTCTCCCTCTCCTTTTACTCCACAAAGATTTATTACCTATCCAGTGAGCATTTCTGAGGAACGCAGCTGATACATTTTTAACAAAAGCAACCATTAATGTAATGCCCAGGTCTACGGCCCCCAACCCCCCATATTCCTTACCTTTATACATTAGTTCTCTTTTAGTTACCTCTCTGGTGGTACCCCACACTAAATTAGCACACTGTTTGTTTAATTTCATTATCATTTTATCCGAAGGAGGAAAGATGTTAGCCAGAAAGAAGAGTTTGGACAGGATGGTTTTGATGATGTTGACTCTAGTTTTATATTATACTTTTTTACTTCTTTCAATTCAGTCAGTTTTTTCTCCCAGTTTCGTTCACTACAGTCTTTACTACAGAATGTCAAACCCCAAATTGTTATTTCTTGATCAACTTGAACATTAACGTTAGGTTTGTTCTTCTCATCTCCAATCCAAACTCCCTCTGTTTTAATATGATTTAACTTAGCACCAGATGCTAGTTCATACAGATTTAAATGATTCGTCAACACATCCATTTCTTTTTTCTTTTTCTTTTTATAATAACCGTGACATCATCAGCGTAGGCAATTGCTGTAAACTTGGGCAGATGGCCACCACATGTACCAGAGATTAAACTCTCAGAGTTGATTATTCTAATTAAATGGCTTATGGCCAAAATGTATAAGGCAGCACTAAGAGGGCAGCCCTGTTTGACCCCTCTCTCGACCTCAAAGGGCTCAGTTAAAACACCATTTACATTTACACAGACACTTCACTTCACATACAGACATTTAACTACATGAATAAAGGCATCAGGGAAACCATAAGCCTTCATTACAGCCCAGAGATGATCTCTGGAAAGGTAATCAAAAGCTTTCTTTTGATCCAGACCTATAATAATAAATCCTTTGTCAGGTTTATACACAGTTTCTCTAAGAATACTCAGACTATCCCACATAAGTCATCCTTTATTTGCACGGGTTTGTTCTTTATCTATATTTTTTTCTAACATATTGTGTAATCTACTTATAATTATTTTAGCAAGTATCTTATCATCTGTATTCATAATAGTTATGTCTATAGTTATCCAAGTCAGTGTCATCACCTTTTTCATACAACAAACAATAAAACACCTTGATAAAATGAGTCCGCAGTCCATACAGCCGCTGTTTAAACCTTCATTAAACACCACAGTAAGAAGGTCAATTACATCATCTATATACAACTGCTAAAACTCAGTGGACAGTCTTGTCTGGACCAGGACTTTTACCAGAGTTTAATTGTTGGACTGCATCCACCACTTCGTCTTTTCTGATATTACCAATAAGATCAGTGAAGGTCAGCGAGCTGTATAAAGGGACATGTTTTGACGGAATATTAACACAGTCAGCATCTCTATCTATTTTTTTATATGCATCAGCACAAAGGTCTCTGATCACTTCTCTTTTCTGCCTTTCACCATGGACAGTATCACCAAAATTATTTTTTATAGATTTAATAACTGTACTTTGTGATTTAAATAAGTCATTGTTATGTTTATCTAGTTGCAATTTAATATCTGACAGTTTCTTCTTTAATAGATCTTTCCTTCTTCTGTTTAAGACTAATATATTTCTTCATTAATGTATCATAATTTATATTTTTAACTACATTTGTCTACATTTGTATTTCAAGAAATCTTTTATTCTATGTTTTAATATTTCCCATAATTTATATCAGATTATATCAGAGTTTTTAGTTATATTGTTGTTTCAGTTCTATTAATAAGTCTGTATGTTTTAAACACTGAGTATTTAGTTTCCAGAAACCTCTGTTAGTGGAGGTTCCACATGACTGATAGGTTTTCACTACGAAGTGATCAGAGAAGTCATTAAAAACAGTTGAATAATGAGTTTTAAAATGTGAAGACACATAAATTCTATCTATTGGAGTTTTGGTTTTAGTGTCAAACCTTGTAAAATAAAGTCCAGAAGGATGAACAGCTCTACATACATCTATCAACTTAGCTTCATTACAGATTTCTAAGAGTTTAACTTCTGGGCTCAGTTTAAATGTTCTTGTGCTGCATCTGTCATTTTCATCCATTACTGTATTAAAATCTCCACATAAAATAATTCTATATCCAACCAATATCAATTCTCTAAGTCTTTTAAATAACTGGACTTTCTTACAAGCATCTGGCGCAGTATACAGATTAGTAGTAGTATATTTTTCACCGATAATAACAATCCAGCATCAGCAGTCTTCCCTGAGATAATCTCTCTTCTTCTAATTATGTTAACATCGTGATTTCTGAAAAATATACCAACACCATCAGCTTTACTTTCACCTACAGATATTACACATTTCTCTTTTTGCCACAATTTACTAACATCATCAACATCATTGTTCGTATTCAGTCTCAGTTCTTGAGTACATAAGATGTCAAAGTCAGTATTAAGTAGATATTCAGTTTTGTCCTTTCTTAATGACATCGTCTGAATACCACGAGCATTCCAGGTGGCATCTTTAAAAAAACTCATGGTAAGAGTTGATGTCAGTCCTAAGGTGTAGGCTTGTCATCAAGCAGGAAGGTGCAGACCTTAAGCCCGTCAGGCTGTAGGACCAAGTGCTGGTGACGGGGCTGTTGTGGTTGGTCTGCTGGCTGGCTGCAGGGCTGCTGATGTTGATGTTGAAGGGCTTTCTTAGAGTTGCGCTGCTTGGCGGTGGACTCTCTGGAGCGCTGCTGCTGAGCGGTAGACTGAGGGTGGGGCTACTGCTGACGGTGTGCCGGCTGACTACTGGGCTGCTGCTGCTTCTGGACAGGTGGAATGTTGGGTTGCTCAGCGGTTGGCTGGAGGGTCCGCTGCTGCTCGTCTGACAACAGGCCGGGCAGCCACTGCAGTGTTGGCAATAGACCTGGCTGCTTTGGTGCTCTTGTTTTATTAGTATAGCAGTTTGAGCAGGTGAAAAAGGTGTGACCTGTTCCTCTGCACAGGCTGCACAAGCCTTCTGCTGTACAGTCTTTGGCCTTGTGAAGCAGCTGGATGATTGTCTCAGGTAGATGATGTGACTGTTGTATGGTCCAAGAGAGATGGA